TTCCCGGAATCGTCAGGTCAATCCGAGTGCTGTCAACTGTGTGCCGGGCGGGGCGCCCCGCCCAGACTCGTGCCGGGCCTCGTTCCCCTTGGGGCGGCGACTCGGTGCGTTGCTCAGCGGGGCGTTTTGTGGCAGCGCTGGGGGGAGGGGTCAGACGGGCCGCTCCCTGACAGCCCGCGGGAGTACCGGCCTGGGCTTGGGGAATTCAAGAGGTACCGATACCGCTGCTCCCCGGACCTCTCCCGGGGTGCGTTCTGGCCAGAATCTCGGGGCGAATCCGGCGGTGGCGACGAGGGCCTCCGAGGAGGCCCAAAAAGGGAAAAACGAGGAAAGGGTAGAGGTATGGGTACCTTTTCCTCTTCTGTGATGGCTCTCCTTCAGCAGTTCCCCTTCAGCTCGACGACAACTTTGAGCACCGCAAGCCGTGACGTGCGACGCATCTTCGATTCGATTCGTCGATGGGCTCTCGTGACGGCGGCAGCGGCGGCGGCGCCGCCTCTACGATGGCTGGCTGCGGCGGGCGAGGAGTCTTTTTCCCCGCGCGGCCCCGCGATCCAGGATATCGCCGAGGCGGCGGCGGTGGCGGCGGCGACGGCGACGGCGGCGGCGCGGCCCCTGCGAGGCAGGAGATCGCCAGGGCCGAGACTGCCGCCCGGGAGTTGTGCCAGACGCAGGCCTGCCGATGGTCGTCGATTGCCCGCCGTCGATCGACGCCGCCGATCAGCGCCAGCGGAGGGGCATCCTCGTCGTCGTCGCCGCCGTCGTCGTCGTCGTCGTCGTCGTCGTCGTCGTCAAGCTACGCGCACTGACTGCTAATCGGCCGCGCGCCCGGGGAGAAGTGAAAAGGGGCAGGCCCCTTCACAAGGCAGCAGGGTTTCGCAGAAACCGTCTGGCCTTCTGAGAAACCGTAGCAGTTTGCGGATAAATCCTCACTTGTCAGAAGTCCGGCGGCTTTCCGAGCCCCCTGAGAAGGCCCGACCCTTTAGGCTTCCCCTCCGGGCTTGCCACCAAGAGGAGCGTGGGCACAACAGGGAAAGGATGGTGACCAGTACGGGGAGGGATTGGGATGCTGGTGGTGATGGTGATGAAATGATCGGATGGTGATGGTATTGATGGTAATAGTGGTACATGATGGCGCTGGTGATGCGCAGGGGAAAAAAGTAAAACATATAGCTGTCCTTGTTGACCTGCTCCTGCGCCGTCGTGCTTTAACTCATTATCCTCCCTCTTCCGCGCTCTGGTTGGCGGCAGATTATCCGCCGCAGCGACGAGAATCTGGTGGTTTTCAGTTCTTCCCGTCACCGTGCCTGGGTCATAAACACAAGGCTTTCTAACGAGGCCTCTTGGAGTGTTTTTTGGGGCCTCCCGGAGTTCTTTGGAGGGCCCCACATGGGCCTTTCGGAGGTCTCTTTGTAGAGGCCGCTCGGGGTTAATTACCTCGGGGGTTGGTTTGAAATAGCTCGCAATGCCAGGCCGGGCTCCCCTTCTTGAGTCCCTCGTGGGGCCGTCTTTGGCGTATCTTGCGCTGCCTTGGGGGCCGTCATGGGGCCTGTTATACCACTTCGGAAGTGTGGAGTCCCAACCACGCTTCCGAGGCCTCTTCAAAAACCACGCGGGAGCGCCCAGGAGCGCCTGGAGTTTGGAACGCGGGGCGTCAGGTTTGCCAAAGGACATTTGCAGCATTTGACATAGAGAACTCGAGCGGACCAGAGGAGTCCAGACACTCCACCTCGTGCCTGCGATTGCGTGAGTTGGCAAGCCGCTTTGACTCTCCATTGTTTACCCATCTCCAGTGTACCCGCACTCGAAGTACATGAAGGTACTCCTTTCAAGGGCAGGGTCGTGCCAGCTCTTAGGCTTATGTCGGGCCTGTCCCCCTACAGGGGGACTTTCGACGAAAAATAGAAAATGCCCCAATAATACCCCAAGAACGGAAAACATATTAAAAAAATAGTCCCCAGACTATTTTTGGACTATCTTTTGATTATTTTTGGGTATCTTTTATGTTTCGTCGAAAATCCCCCAGTAGGGGGACAGGCCCGACTTAATCTTAGGCAAACCCAGGCAAGCAGAACACCAACGGCCTGGGCGGGCGGACCCGGATGGGCGCAGCAGGCGGGCGGACTCCCACGGATAGGTCAGGCGGGTTGGCGGACCCCCAAAGGGCGGGTCGGACGGGCGCTTCCGAAGTACCTCTAAGTCGGGCCTGTCCCCCTACAGGGGGATTGTCGACGAAAGATTCAAAAATACACCAAAAATAGTATACAAATATTCCACAAATAGTCTGGGGACTATTTTTTGAGTATTGTTTGACCTTTTTGCTGCATTTCTGGACTATTTTTAATTTTTAGTCGAAAATCTCCCTGTAGGGGGACACGCCCGACATAAAAGTACCTCCCCATCGCCAGGACAGGTGGCACATCGCCGTCGCGATGGCTCTGCCCCTGCTCTGTCCCTTGGCACGCACAGCGTGTGCCTTCAGAAGCCCCTTGGGGCATTCGGGTCACTTGCCCGAGATCCCTTAGCGCCTGGAAACAAGAGCTGCAGCAGTTCGCAATGCTCCTCACACGGTAGTCTTGGCAGCAGTTTCACTGGTCCTTTCCGAACGGCCGTTTGTCACCCGCCCTTGAGCCGCCCTTTTGGGCGTCGACGGCTGTTGTGTGCTGGTCACAACGCTGGAGAAGACGTTCGAGAGGGGCCTCAGGTGGGCGACGCCTCCGAGCCTCCAGGAGAGGCTTCAGGAGGCTCTGGGGCAGGCTTCGGAGCTTCTGGGAGCGAGCAAGGAGCATGCTGAGCACGAAACGCACATGAGCACACAACCGCTACCACGTGGCATCGCAGTGCTTACTGACTCCGCCCCGCCACGCCCGTGGCCGAAGACATGCCCCCATACCCCCAGCTGCTTCGCGGGCGGGCCGGTAGACTTCCCAGGCCACGTTGCTCGTGGGCGCCCTCTCTTTCTCTGGGTGGGAGGGGGGAGGAGGAGGACAGGGCTCGTTTCGATTCCTCCGATTCGATTCGATTCGATTTCGATGGTTTCCGATTCTGATTCGATTCGACTTCGGATTCCGATTTGGGCTCCGATTTCTTATTGGAGGCACACTAGCCTGCCGATTTCCGCCGATTCGACTTCTCCCGACTCGGCTGCCGATTTCCGCCGATCCGACTCATTTCGATCGCCGATCCGACTTATCGATTCGACTATGGGCTCTCCTGCGAGGAGGGACGACGATAGGGGAACAACAAGTGACGTAAACGGAAAAACTCGGAGGAGCACCGCACACCGCACAAGGCCGTCACCTGGCTTCCTGGCGATGCGACCAAGAAAATGAAGCCGTCTGCGGACGAGCGATCTGCTGGGCGGGCGGGCGCTGGCCAGCTCTGGCACGGATTCGTTCGAGACTCTGCTGATGTATGAGTGGGGAATGCGCAAGAGCTTTCGCAGGCACCTCGCCTGGAATGCGTCCAAACGGCGCAACTCTTGCTTGTTAAGATACGCAGCGTGCAGGCAAGACAGCAGCTGACTCATTACGCAAGACTCAAAAACCTGGATACGTTCTGCTGGGTGCGAGTTGACTGGCTCCACACTCTGGCCAGCTTGTCAAAATCTACACCTGCAGCTCCTAGGCGGCGCGACAGGTCTGACACTATCTTGCCGTCGTCGCTGATCAGACTACCGAGATAGACGATGCTTCCTTTTTGTGGGAGCCGCTTCAAGCTCGTCGGGAGAGGCCTCAGCGTTTTTCTGTTCTGAGGAAGCCTTCGAGATCTCGGTGCCGGGGGGATGGGCTCTGGAGGCCTCTGAGCCCTGGCACAAGTTTCAGACCCTGTCGAAGACCCGAGCCTATGGGAAAGGCCTCGGAGGTCTTGGGAGAAGCCATGCAGCGCCTGGGAGAGGGGTGGGGCTCATGGTTCCTGGTTGGGGGCCCGTCGAGTGGGTGAACGGGGTATTCTTTGATTCGTGCATATGGAACCGTGGAAGAAGGGGGTTGGAATATCGAACTCGCTAGCAACAACTGCACCGTAAGCGGCTGGTTGGACTGAGATTCATGAATGGGAGTCAACCGGAAAATAACCATCCTTCGCGTCGCGCCCGCGCTTTGCCGCCGCTCATTGCTCCTCCTCGGACTGAGCTGTCCAGCTTTGAATCCGAGGAGGAGGAGAGAAGGGAGGAGCTGCGGGAGAACGAGCAGTATGACGGAGGAGGAGGGGTAGGGACGTCGATGCATTGGAGTCTGCCCCATCGGGGCCCATTCCCTTGGTGCTAGTATTTGTTGTTCTCTCTCTCTCTCTCTCTCTTTCTTTCTCCTCCTCCCTCTATCTATCCATTTCTATCTTTCTATATATATATAAACATATCTATATATATGGGCTGCTGCATACGTATCTGGCGATCAAGCGGTCTCCGCGACTCTGTGACCGCGAGGATGCTGAGCAGCTCGCCGCCGACCAAAACAGCAACGAGAGGTAAGGTGCCGCCACCGACGTCGATGACGGCGGCGGCCTTCGCAGGACCACCGTACAGACCCGCCGCGCTCGTGCCCCTCAGCCCCCTCCCCGGGAGGCAGGGGGGGCCCCTCCCCGGGAGGCAGGGAGGCAGCGGGGGCAGCCATAGGAGGAGGAGGAGGAGGAGGAGGAGGAGGAGGAGGAGGAGGAGGCGGAGGAGGAGGCGGAGGAGGAGGAGGAGGAGCAGGAGCAGGGGGAGGGGGAGGAGGAGGGGGAGACGGAGGGAAGCACGGAGGGGGGCCCGTGCAAAGCTTCGCTTCTTGCGCGGCCTGCCGCCGACCGACGATGCCTGCGCCCGGCGGCGCCGCGGCCGCCGCCGCCGCCGACGGCGCCGCCGCCGTCGACGGCGGCGGCGACCGCCAGTGCTGAGGAGGGAAAAAAACACACAGACGCAATGAATCGTCGACCCCCCAGAAAATACAGGAAAATATGGGAAGTGGGGGGGGAGACGACAATCCCAAAGATGTGGGAAATATAGGGTATCCGGTTATTTGCGTGTATTTATTTGTGTGTCCCAGGGCCCCTTCAAGTGGCGGACGCCGCCGCCGACCGACGATGGCGCCGGCGGTCGCCGACCGGCGCCCAGGTCGGCAGCGAGCTGTCCCAAGCGGTGGCCTCCGGCAGCCTGGAACGCCTGCGGGCGGCGGCGCGCGCGGCGGCGGACGCGGGCGTCAGCGGCGCGGAGGCCTGGCGCGGCCTCGTGGGCGCTCGCCTCGCCGCCATCGTAGTCGCCATCGTCGTCGTCGTGGGAGGAGGAGGAGGAGGAGGACGAGGACGGGGGACGAGGGGGAAGGTTGCTCCAGGCAAACGCGTGTGCGACCCAATTGGCATCTGCCCAAGGCAGAAGGTATCAACGGACTCAGGCGACTTATGCGCCCCAGACGAAGATGTTGCATGCTCGGCGTGCTTCGTCGCAACAGGACATTCTGATGATGCTGATGATGGTGATGATGATGGTGATGATGCTGTTGATGATGATGATGATGATGATGATGATGATGATGAGGATGAGGATGAGGATGAGGATGAGGATGAGGATGAGGATGAGGATGAGGATGAGGATGAGGATGAGGATGAGGATGAGGATGATGATGATGATGATGATGATGATGATGATGATGATGATGATGATGATGATGAGTGCCCTCACGCGCTGGTGCGGCGGAGCGATGGATGCACATGGAACGCTGGCCCTCCGCACGAGCATCCAGTCGTGCATCGTCGCAGGGCCATCATTACACTGCTGAGTGTCCTGACACGCTGATGTTGCACGCCAGTGCCATGACACGCTGGGTCGCCAACAAGTTACACACCATGGTGTCCTCATTCAGCACTGGTCCATTGAAGGCTGGCCTTCCGATGTGTACCCAGTCGTGTATCATCGCAGTGCCATCGTCATGAAGATGAGTGCCATGACGCGCTGGTGTGGCAGAACGAGGTCATGACACGCGGGGGCGCCAAGAATGTACACCATGGGGTTTTTCATTCAGCACCGACACTGGGGATTGCGTAAGACCACTCGGCCTCTTCACCGGCCATTTGGACGGGGTGCCGCAGCCATAGACACGGTTTGTCGTAGATCGTACAGCATGTCGTTTGAGTTGCAAACGCAGTTATCCCATACTAGTTGTTGAACCTCGTGGTGCTTTGCACGTGAAAGTTATTTTGTCGATGCTCACCAAACTGCATTATTCATCTCGTTGCGCAACCGCTGGATGCCACCGCTCCGTTCCGTAGCGCACGGACCTTTTTTCCTTTTTTTCCAAAACCACGAAGCGCAGTCCTGTCTCACATTCGCAAGCAATGCCACTCAAGATGAATGCATGCATCAGGTTCTTCATATCTTCTTCCTGAATAGCAACAGAGGTCGCGCACGCGTGGGCTTGGTACTGGTTGGGGGGGTGGTTGTGGCGTGGTGATGGTGATGCTGTGGCGATGATCTGCACATGACGAGGATGATGACGATTGCGACGACGATGACGATGATGATGATGATGATGATGATGATGATGATGATGATGATGATGATGATGATGATGATGATGGTGCTAATGATGATGATGGTGATGGTGATGATGGTGGTGGTGACATTGATGGTGGTGGTGATGACGATGATGATCAGAATCAGGCTGCTTCTGATGATGACGGTGGCGGTAGTGGATGATGATGAAGAGGAGGAGGAGGAGGAGGAGGAGGAGGAGGAGGAGGAGGAGGAGGAGGGCTTGCTAAGGCCTTGATAGGCCTTCGTTGAAGTATATCGTGTTTGTAAGACGCCATCTCATGAGCGTCTCAGTTAGGGGGAGGAGAGAGGAACGTTAGGAGGGACAAGGACGACGACGAGCAGCAGCAACAGTAGCGTCACGAAACATGTAATACATTTCGGAAGCCGCCTGCCACCTTCAGGTCGATGCCGCCTCAGGGCGTGCCACCAAGCAGGAGGGGAAGAGAGGCGGAGATGCCTCTCCGCAAGGACGAGGGCGGAGAGAGGACGAAGAGAGCAGAATCGGGGAAAGGTGCGGAGAAGAGAAGAGGGCGGATGCGGAGGAGGGGCATTTGGGGGAGAAAGAGATGGAGCAGGAGGAAGGCGGAGTGGGAGAATTGAAAGGACGTCGTCGACGACGACGACAACCAGGAGCATCGGCAGTCGAGTCGGAAGGTCGCACCTCCTTCCTTCCCCTCCCCTCCCCTCCCCCGTTCCTTCCTCCCCGTCTTTCCCGCCTACCACCCACATCCCATGAAACGCCACCAGAATCCCCAGCAATTCCTACTGCTCCTTCGAAGCCTTGAAAGACGGGGGGGAACCCTCTACCTCCCTCCCCCCCTTCCCCCGAATGACACACTGTACAAACAACTTTCGGAGGTCTGCCCAGATGTCGTGGATCGGCGACAGACCCCCTGGCGGCGCCCCCTGTTCGCTCTTCGCGTCAGGGAGCGGGGCCCAGCGCCCATTCAAGAAATCCGCGCGGAGCTCCGACGTGACGTTTGTGCAGATGCTCCTATTTCTAGCCGCTAGTCTCCCTCCCTCGATGATGTTTCCTCCCTCCTCCCACCCCTCCTCCTCTCAAGTCGACGCCGCCTGGCATCCGCGAGCCGATGAGGAGAAGGACGTGGAGGAGGAGGAGGAGGAGGAGGAGGAGGAGGAGGAGGAGGAGGAGGGCAACGCGCAGGGGGACGCCGACGACCACGACGACGACCCCTGAAACCGGACGCCGCCGACCAGAGACCTCGACCCCATCCTTCCAGGCCTCCCAAGTGGGGTTCCAGTAGGTGGGGTCGGAGGATCGCCGTATCGCAGATGCATCGCTGATGCGGCTCGATGTGGGGCCGTGTTTTCTCCGCGCCGACAGCGCCGATTCATCGCCGATGCACCGCCGATGCATCGGCGCGATCCCCCGACCCTACCTATGCGGACCCCGTTTGGAATGCCTGCCGTCGTCATGTGCGGCACTTCTCGAGTCGAGATCGATCCGTGGGGACCCGATGGGTTGAGAATGGGCGAACACGCCCAGGGAGGACGACCACGGCCCCGACGACCACGACCACGACGATCACGACCAGGACCACGACCACGACCACGACGACCACCACGACCACGTTCACGACGACGGCCACGACCACGACCACGACGACGACCACGGCCACGACCAAGGGGACCAGCACTACCACGACGGCCACCCCCACCACCTGGCAAGCTGTTTACTGCCGCCCGGATCCAATAGGTCGCGTAGATTATAGGCTTCCTAGATGGGGTCGGGGTAGATGGGGTTGGAGGATCGCGCCGCATCGCCGATTCATCGCCGATGCGGCTCGATGCGGAGCCTGATGCGGTGTATCGCCGACGTCGCCGATGCATCGCCAGAGCATCGCCGATGCGTCGCCGATGCATCCCCGATACATCGCCGATGCGGCGCGATCCTCCGACCCCATCTACTCCGACCCTATCTCGGAGGCCTCTATAGACGGACCCCCCGATCCAGCGGAACCTACCCGCGAAAACAAAAAATACGCGGACCCAGATGCTCCTTAGTGGGGGATCCTGTGTATCTTTCTTTCAGTGGTGCAGCATTGGCTGGCAGCCCCTGCCGCTCCACGGCGACGCACCCCTCCCTCCATCCCCCCTCGCGGCCGCTGTCGCATGTCTTCCCCTGATTCCGCGGGTCAACTTGCGCTCTCCATTGCCTAGACCGCCTGAGCGCGCGTGCCGACTGCCTCTGCCACGCTGCAGCATCCCCAAAATCTGTATCGATCCTGACCTCTTGGGGGGCCCCAGAGGTTCCCAGAGGTCCCCGCGGAGGCCCCCAGGGGCGCGACGAGGGGCCCAGAAACGTCCGCAGGCCTCCTCCCTCGACCTTCGGGGGTCGAGGGCAGGAACTTGGCACCACCGCCGCGAACCACGGCGACGAGCCGTCTTCATCCGAGCACGTTCGTGCTGTGCGCGCGTCGCCCCACGGGGGGCGACGCGCGCTCTCAGACATCTCATGACGCATTCGAGGCTCCCCAGCTGGGAGGAGGGAGGAGGGAGGAGGGAGGAGGGAGGAGGGAGGAGGGAGGAGGGAGGAGGGAGGAGGGAGGAGGGAGGAGGGGGTCGGAGGACCGCGCCGCATCGCCGATGCACAGGCGGCGCGGCTCGACGCGAGAAAACGGGATTGTTTCACGGCGACGTCGTCGATACAACACCGACGTTGCCGATGCATCGGCGATGCATCGTCGCCGACGCATCGGCGATGCATCGCCGGTGCATCGGCAATCGATTTTAGCGATGCGGTGCAATTCTCCAACACCATCTACGCCGACCCCCCTTGTGGTAGGCCTACTACGAGTCGGTTTTGCCCAGGCATGCTCGTGCTATGTGCGCGTCGCTCCCACTCAGGGCGGCGCGCTCGTTCAGACATCTCACAGACTATGCTCGGTGGCGGGGGCGCTTGGGCCATACTGCCAGGGTAACGATATATCAGAACACGGCTGAGCGGTATGCTCTGTTTGAACGCACGCCTCCAAGGAGGGCACACCGCACTATGTTCTTCTGCGTCCCATTGCACGTTCCAGGAAGGGCGTCGCTTTCGCGGGCCAAAGGAGTTGCCAACTCTTCCCCTGCGGAAGGTGGCGGATGGTCGGCGGAAACAAAACGGAGGTGGGTCTTCCGGCGCAAGCTGGCGGAACGCCGGCGAAAGCAAGAAACGCCCCCAATAAATGGCAAGGTTTTTCTGGTCCAACAGGCTTCGCATGTTTTTCTGCGTCCCGACGATTCTCGGCCTCCTGGATGGGGTCCGAATAGATGGGGTCGGAGGAGCGCGCTGCATCGCCGATGCAGCGCCGACGTCGCGGATGCATCGCCGATGCGTCGTCGATGCATCGGCGATGCGGCCCGACCTTCCGGCCCCATTTTGGCCGCTTCTAGCGACGGCCGGCAGGTCGACGCCGCCTGGGAGCGCATCCGCGAGCTGGAGGCCCACGATTGGCTCCGGCGGCAGCTGGCCGCCGCGGCGGCCAGCGGCGACGCGGCTCGGCTGCAGGCGGCGATCAAGCAGGCCGCCAGCGGCGCCAGCCTCGCCGCCCGCCCGCCGCCGGCGCTCGCTGCCGCCGTTCGGCGTTCGTGGTCGTCGGCGCTCAGAGGAAGAAAAGGCAACGGCACCGCTACTCACCAAGCGCGTTCCACAACTCGCGAAGTGACTGCTCGCAAACGCCCCCCAAACAACTACTGCTCGATCTATCGAGCTTGTTTGCCTCGGTGGAATGGATCCAGGCCGTTTGCGAGTAAGCTACTTCGCGAGCAGTGGGCCGCGCTTGTCTAGCTACCCTTCGCTCGTTTTCGCTATTGCGTGCCTCTGGGGAGGCCCTCGTCGCCGCGGCTGGGTTCGCCTCCGAATTGTGATCAGGACACACGCCAGGAGAGGTATGGGGAGTAGCCGTATCAGGATCTTTTGGTTTCCCCAGGCGTTGCGTGGTCTCCGCCGATCGTCCGCGCTCGCCGCCGCCGCTCGACGCGGTCGCCGCCGCCGCTCGGCGCTCGTTGTCGTCGACGACCGTTGGCGCCTCGTGGTCGTCGCTGTCGTTGGCGCTTGCCTTCGCCGCCCAGCGCTCGTCGTCGTCGACGATCGTTGGCGCTGCGTGGTCGTTGCCGTCGTTGCCGTCGGTGTCGTTTGGTGCCTCCTCCATGCCCTCGTCGACATCGAGGACGGTGTTGCCAGGACGTGGCCCTCAGGGTGGAGGGTGGCCCCAGGTTCTCCAGAGAGGCCTACTTAGGTGGCATCTACAACACCCTGACGAGGCCCAGAGGGCCCCAGGGCCTCCATCGAGGAGGGTGTTGCCAGGCTCTGGCCCTAGTTCAGGGTGGCACCGGGCTTTCCAGAGAGGCTTATAGGTGGCACCCAGAACACCCAAGCGAGGGCCAGAGGGCCCCAGGGCACTCCAAGAGTGCCGCGAGCAGCTGGGGGTCCTCAGCTGCCCTGATGCGCCCGCGTTGAAAGGCAGCGCGTGCCGTGCTCGAAGCGTCCGTGTTGACACGCTGCGTCTCGGCTCGGCACGTGTTGGACCAGGTTCTGGCGAACGTATCGCGCCAGACCGACGTTTTCAGTCTAGGTGTCGAGCCCCGTGCCAACGCGCCAAGGGTTGCCTTCGGGGCAGCCAAGCTGGGGACACCTTCGGGCAACTCCCGGGGGCTCCCAGGAGCAGGACACACATGACACACACACACACACACACTCACACACGCACACACACACACTTACACACACACACGACACACGACACACACGACACACTCGCACACGACACACACACAAACACACACACACAACACACACACACACACGACACACACACACGACACACACACGACACACACACACACACACTCACACACGCACACACACACACTTACACACACACACGACACACGACACACACGACACACTCGCACACGACACACACAAACACACACAACACACACACGACACACACACGACACACACACACACACACACGACACACACACACACACGACACACACAAACACACACAACACACACCCACACAACACACACACACACAACACACCCACGCAAACACACACACACACAACACGCACAACACACAACACACAACACACAACACACCCACACACACACACGCACACACACACACGCACACACGCACACGCACACGCACACGCCCACACACACACACACACACACACACACACCTTCGGACAACTCTTCGTCGAGGAGGGCCAGGGGCCTCCCTCCTCGTCATCACCCACCACACTCGGGGAGGTGAGGGCGCCTCCCCCTGCTTCGTCCCCTCGCCCTTCCGAGGAGCTGGCGTCCTCGAGACCAGACTAATTCCTAACGCTAGTAACACGAGGAAGACGTGGCCTCACTTAGGCCCCCGTCTCTGCATCAGGGATCACACATCTTGGTGGCTTGGTCTGCCGCATCTGCAGAAAAGACACTCTATCCCTAATGCCCAGAAGGGTTTGGGGTACTTTTAGTGCTCATCATGTTGGGGCCCGTCTTGCTCCCTCCCGAGCCCTTCCGAAAGGAGTGCGCTCAGCGCCGAGAGGGATTCCATTCGGCGGATCTCGGCGCAACAGCCAGGTGGGCTCTTGTCGACGTGAGCCGGGCGTTGCGAACTGCGGTGCCGATACATGGTGAGGTGAATGGGGGCAAAGAAAGTGCGCCTCCTGTGCCCTGAAGAAGCCCTAAAGGGGCCCCCTTAGGCCGAAAAGTAGTGCAAAAGGTGCATGTCTCTGCCCCCTCCCCATTCATTTACATTCATAGACATTCATCGCCCACCCTAAAGCAACGCACCGAACCGAGTAAGCTAAAGGTGCCACACGCAAGGCAACTGTCATGATGTTTAGCTGGATGGGCTCTCTTCTCGCCAGGTCGGCTTCCTTCGCCCGCTGGGCTCTGAGAGCTTGCCGAATGGGTTTCACCGAATGGGATGCCAATTGATGGATCGGCTCCAAAGTGAGCAGGATTGTTCCTCATTTCGCCAGGGGGTGCTTTCATTCCGCTGGAGGAGGACGACGCCGACGACGACGCCTACGACGCCGACACCGCCGACGACGACGACGACGGCGACCTCGTCGACTGGGATGATGGTCGCGAAGAACCTTTTTGGGAACAGGTCTGGGAGAGCGGCCTTGATCGGCCCTCTCCCTCCCTCCCCCTGGGATCACGTCACGCCATTTTGCCCAGATTCGCGGAGATGTCCCGCGGATTCGCCCCTGGGGGTTCCTAAGACTTTCCGGCGCCCCCCCGCCGTGATGTGTTTGGGGGGGACGATCTCCCCCCCCCTCCCCCGACCACGCCCGTTATCGCGAATCATGAAAAAGAACTCGAAGACGTCGCCGGCGGCGGCGGCAGCGGCGGCGGCGACGACGACGACGACGACGACGACGACGACGGCGACGGCGGCGGCGGCGGCGGCGACGAGCCTGTGGACACAGCCTGCTGCCGCTGGCGGGCCCCCCCGGGGGCCCCAGGCGGACGCCGGCGGCCTGGGCGCCGCGGAGGCGCGCCCTCGGGCGCCGCCGCACCGCCGGCCAGACGCGCGGGCGCTGACGGCGGCGGCGGCGGCGGGGAGAACGGCGGCAGCGGTGCCGCGGCGGCGGCGGCGAGGAGAGGGCCCCGACGACGACGATGACGACGGCGACGGCGACGGCGACGGCGACGGCGACGGCGACGGCGACGGCGGCGACGACGACGACGGCGGCGACGACGAAGACGACGACGAGGGGGTCGGCAGGGTGGCGGCGGTGGCCCCCGGTCCTCGGCGGTGCGGGCATGGGGATGAGGACGGCGGCGACGACGGCTTGGACGACGACGATGACGACACGAGGTCGAGGACCACGACGGCGACGACGGTAGCGAGGACGACGACGAGGACGACCACCACCGTGTGAGCCGTGAGCCTCGCTGTCGGGGCAGCTGCATCCTGACCTGGCTGCGCTCTCGAGACTCCCCCCCCTGCATGTCTCCCCCCTGCGTTATGTTGACAGCTGCTTTCTACGAGTTGACTGCATCATGTCCACGCAATGCTCGCTCGCACTTCGAGGTTCTTCATATTGTTGTTTACGCAATTGGAGGGGATCGCCGAGTACGTTCCACGTCGCCCCCCCGTGCGCTGCGTGGGCCGTCGTTGAGATTGCTTGGGCAGTCTTGCGGGCCTCTCGCTGGTCGTCTTGGTGCGCCGGTTTTGGGATGCGGGGTTCGCGATTCGTTGGGCACGCTGCGGGGGGTGCTGCGTCGCAGACTAGCGGCTGAGGAGTTTCTCTCAGTTTGCAAGGGGCAGCCGCGCCAGCGCCTTGGTCGCACTGGTGGCAGAATGTTCATGAAGGCAGCGGCTGGGCGTGCGCGTGGGCGCCCGCGGAGGAGGAGGAGGAGGAGGAGGAGGAGGGAACGGAGAAAGAAAAGAAGCAGGAGCAGGGAAAGGAGGAAGGAGATGAGCAGGAGCAGGGAGGAGGATCAGGATGGCGAGGTGCATGTGCAGGAGCATAACGACGAAGACGTTGACGACGTTGCTATCGACGACGGCTACGGCGACCGCGCAAACGCTGACGACGGCGAGAGCAGCATCGACGGTGGACGCGATGCCGACGGCGACGACCGCGCCGCCGCCGGCAAAAGCGGCAGAGGGCGGCGGCGAGGGTTCTGCGTCGTATTGCCGCTGATGGCGGGGTGCGGGTCCTGACAGAAGCGGATCTCGGAGGTGTTTTCACAGCGTTCGGCACCTCGGGGCCCTTCACGGGCCCATGGGCCCTCCTCCCCCTCCTCCCCCTCCTCCCTCTCCTCCCCCTCCTCCTCCTCCTCCTCCTCCTCCTCCTCCTCCTTTTCCTCCTCCTCCTCCTCCCCCTGCTCCCCCTCGGTCCGTAGCCATTTTGGCTCAAGGCCAAAATGGTTCCCATATCATTGCCTCCACGGGGTAGGCTCCCACAGGCCTCGGTTTTCCGCGCGCTGCAACAACCAGGGCCTTGCAGCGGCCCAGCGATATCCCTGCTCATCGCACTGGCCAGGCAGGTGGCCATCCATATTATCCGTAATCTTTCGTCACGTGGTGGTACCGCACCCCCGCTGGCGGCTGGCGTCCCGCTCAGCGTGATATGCCCAGCTCATCAGACGAGGACCGAAGCACGAACCGCAGCCAGCAACGTCGTCGCACAGGCGAAACCGATCGTCGACGCGCTACCGTTGCCACAGACACCCTCACGCTTATGGCCTCAGGTGCTGGGAGAAAGGACCGCCAGATCGGGACGATCATCTGCGAGAACAGACCCCACCTGCCTACCTGGCGGACAGCAGCCAGATTCGATCCAGCAGTGTTGCCCGTGGCGACCTCGTGAACCACTCCAACTGGATGCCGAGCAGTAGCGCGTCCTCTACAGGGACCTGGAGGCATTCCCCACCTTCGCATCGCAAGCAAAAGGCCCCGCTCAACAAGCTGATCATGTCCCTGCCACTCCTGTCGGTGGCCTTCCCACCCCAATCGCCGACCGCTCTCCCGTTCGACTACCTGGGCTTCCTGCGCACCGCGGCCGCGCACTTTAAAATCTCGCGCAGCACCAGATGTCCCAGGGAGTGGACGCCTTCAAGCAGCAGGCCGACACCCTCCTGGACCAGTCCCGCGAAAGGTCCCCCCAATTCCTTCAACAACACATTCTACAGACTGAGCGCAGGGCGGATTGCCTCCAAGACCAGGTGGCGAACACCAAGCGCGAGCAAGATTGACAAGCAGCTGAGCATATGAAGATGTGGATGGAGATCGCCAAGATGCGCGACACCCTCGCGCGCGCTGAGACCCAGCTCCCCATCGCTGACCTGTCCAGGCTCTCCAAATGGGACCGCCCGCCCGACCCGTCCCCCTTCTCCATCAGAGCTCAGCGGATCATGCCCCCCCCCCAATGTTGTCTTCAACGACCTCCACGCATGGGTCGCAGACGCTGGCCTCCAGCCCGACCAAGTGGAGCTTCATGGCGACGCGCCCGCCAGGCGCTTCATCCTGCAGGTCAAAGGCGCTAAGGAGGTGGCCATCCCGTGCGCTCTCGCCCTTCAGCGCGCTCTTCGTGACGCTGCTGGCAGATGGCGGCGCTTCCACTCCGCGGGCGCCAACGGGCAGCGGTTCGACGTCTTCGTCAACCCCGACAAATCTCCCAAGCAGATCCGCACAGCGATCCAGCGCAAGAAGCTTAAGCAGCTCCTCGCCCAGCGTCTCCTACAGCTGCGCTGGTGGGCACTGCGCGCGATGGGCGAGATCCTCTGCGACGCGGGCCCGCTGGGGCGCTTCGACCTCATGGGCCGGGCCGATCCCGCCGCCCTCGATTGGGGCGGGCGCGCGCTGGCGAACCCGGATATCAACGGCCTCAATCGCGGCGTCACCCCCGCAGCCTCCCAGGCCCTCCTCGCAGACACCGAGACAGCCGCGTGGTGCTCCCAACCGCCCGCGGGCCTGGCGGCGCGATGTGGGCACTTCCATGCCGTCTTCGCTCATCAGGTGGAACGCTCGCGCGCCCGTGCGCCCCAGGCCCCGCAGGCGGCGCCGCAAGCAAGTAGCCCTCGTCAAGTACATGCGCAGCAAGCACGTCATCCTGCTGCAGGAAGTCCACGGTTCCGGGGCGTTCCTCCGCACCTGGCTGGACACGCAACCGCGCACGCCGCTGGGTCGCCTCCGCCCCGACCAGCCTTCCGTTTGCGAGCATGTCTCGCCAGTGCTTGGGCGTGCCCAGCAGCCGGTCATCAGCAATGCGAACGCAGGCCGCTCCCTTGCCATCGTGCTCATCCATAACCATGAACTTCAAGCGCGTGATCGTGACAGTACCGCGCAGCATGGCACCTTCCTGGCCACGGGCGACTTCGACGCCGCCAGCCGCCCGCCGAGCGGCTGCAACCAGTCCCGGGCGATCCGCGCGCGCCTCCAGCTGGACAACAATAACCGCCAGCAGCAGCCTTTCTGGGCGGACCTATTCGACTCCACGATGGAGGTCTAATCCGAGCTCCCCACGCGCTTCAACAAGTCAGACTACGCAGCCCCCTCCATCGACCGCGTGTTCATGGGCCTCCCCCGGCGCGACGCAGGAGCTCACTATGGCTGGCCACGTGGTGCGCGACCCCGCCATCCTGTCTGACGAGCGCCTCAGCGACCGCGCCATTCACTCCATTTCGATAGGAATCGAGCCACGTGCGACACCCGCCGAGCCAGCCAGCCCGCCAGCTGTTGTGTTCCGCGACCCGAACTACGCCACCTACTTGCAAAAGGTCATCGACGCTGCGGACGCGCAGCACCTGCCCATCGAGACGCGATGGCGCCTGCACAGGCGCTACATGTCAGATGCTGATCGCATGGTTCGTGACGACTGGGTCAGCCTCAGATCGGGTGACCCCCCCAAGCCAGGCTTCCTGGATGGCAGGGTCATCGCCGTGCGCTCGATGTCCAGGGCGCGCAGCTGGCACGACGGCTTCTTCGTCGACTCACCGACCCTCGAGCTCACCGACGACGCCCAGTTCGCGAGCCTCTCGTCCTCCCCGCGCGGCGAACCCGAGGCGCGCTAGCGCTCTCTGGCACAGCGGGCAGCGAGGCCCTCGCGGAGCCACCCAGGAGCCTTGCCACCTGAGAAGCTCCAGAGGGTTCTGCGGGTCTTTCAGAAGCGCGCCCTCCTTCGGGCCCCCCCTTGAAGCGCCGCCTTTTTCTCCGATGGGGTTGAGAAAACGGGCCTTGACTCCCCTGCTGCCGTTGCCAGAGAGCGGCGAAATGGTCGACGCCTTGCGCAACCACTGGCGCCACGTCTTCCCCAGCGAGGCCGTCGACTCCGACGCCGTCCGCGCGTGCGTCGACGCGCGTGCGCCGCAGGGGGGCAAGCTGGACATTCTGCCGCCATCCATGCGCCAGCTGCGGGCCTTCCTGACGCGGGCTTCCCCATCTGCGCGTGGCCCAGAGAGCTCGCCGTGCAACTCGCGGATCGCCCGCGACCACTGGCCCCCCATCCTGCAGGACTTCGGCTCTCCACCTTTGCTCGGGGCATTCGATCCCCCGCGACCGGAACGACTCGGACTTCGAATTTCCCCTGAAGGGCGACGACCTCCTGGGGGAGCTCGCAACGGATCGCCTGCCCGAAGATACCCGGCCGCTCTCGCTGAAGAGCGCGGGCGTTCAGGCCATTGCAGGCGCCGCGAATCGCCCCGTCAAGCCGTTCGTGGCCGAACGGGCCCACAAGGCGCAGCAGGGCTTCGTCATGGGCAGGAACTTCGCGCAGCACTTCGCGCGCCTGGACGCTGGCACGCGCCGCGCTGGCCTCCTGGAGAACGCCGCGGGACGCCGACCCATCTCCATCAGCTTCGACTTCGTAGGGGCATGTCTATCACTTGGCAGAACGTGGCTCTCCATGGCGCTGCGCCGCTTCGGACTGCCAACGGGCTACATGCATCTGTTCGAGGCCATGTGCTACGCGCCCACCTCCTTGGTCAAGGTCGACGGCGCACGCCGCCCCGGGTTTGCGATCGAGACGGGCGCTGCCCAGGGCTGCCCAGCGAGCGGGCCCTCATGGGCGATCGCGATGGGCCCGCTGATCCGCCGCATCGCCGCCGCCGCCGCCATTGGCCTGGACAGCGCGGGCGCCACTTCGACGAACTACCAGGGCGCGTGTGCGGGCGACCTGGGCATCGCGTGCGAATCCGTCGCAGTGATCGGCAAAGTGACTGAGGCCTTTGATGCCGCCGCACGCCTCGCATTCCACTCGCCTAAGCCTCGCAGGTGCGTAGCCGTCCCCCTTTGGGCAGCAGCGTCGCCTGCCACCGCTGCCCGTGCCCAGGGCCTGCTTTCCGCGCGCGCGCGCCTTCTTGGAGCTCGTTTTCGATCGAGGGGCGCGCCGCATGCCTCGGGATCTTCCTCGGCCCGTCGGCGCCCCTGGCCGACCAATGGCACGCCCCTAGGCAGAAATGGTGGCAGCGCGCCCATTCGCTTCAGCATGTGCATCTGGTAGCAACGCCACGGTTCGTCTCTACAACACGTCAGTGCTTTCGACGTTAAGCTATGCGAGCCAGTTCTCTCCAGTCCCCGCATCCATTGTAAACCGCGAGCACTACGTTTTCACAAGGTGCTAGGTTTGCCGCCGAACGCACTCCGCCAGGTGCATCTCCTCGCGATGGCGAGTTTGTCGACGCCACCAGTGATTCGCTCGCTGCAGGTCATGTCTGTCGCAGCTGCCACCCGTTCTGCGTCTCACGCGCTGGCAGAGCTACGGGAACCCCACCCCAATCACCTCCGCGACACGGCATGGGAGGAAAGCACAGCTCAGTCCTTCCATCGTGCTTGGACGGACTGCGGTCTCCCACCCCCTGGGAGCAACCGCTCGCCATTGTTCATTGATTTGCCCAGCTGCGAGACGCGCGGCGCGCACCTCCATTCACACCAGTCATGATGCCAGAAGCTCATCGCGCAGCGCTGGCGGACACGGATCTGGCCATGAAAGCTCATCCGCCGCGCCGCCACCATTTCCGGCGTGCCTTTGCAGCATCTCTGCGCAAGGCTGCATTCGCCTGGCCCGTCATTGTCACCCTCACAAAGCGGGTCGGCGCATGGGGCCTACATATCGAACCTGCACTTTTGGCCGAGCGGTGGGAGTCGCTCGCCGTTGCGCTGCGCAGCGTTCGCCCGAGCTGGCGCTGGGCAGCGATCAAGACTCTGGCTGGCGGGTGGACGTCCGCCGCCCGCGTGCATGTGCTCGTGCCCCGCTGCTGCGTGTCTGGCTGCCGCGAGCAGCCAGATTCATACCCCCACTACCTCTCCTGTCCTCGCCTCTTGAGCCTCCTCTGGTCCCCCGACCTCCACTCCTCCTCAGTGCGTTGACGCGCTGGGGGCTGGGCCTCCCAGCTGCTAACCCGCCTGCGCCGAGCGAGTTGTCGCTGCAGGCCACCATCCGACGCATAGTGCTTGCGTTCCATCTTTGCAACAAATACAAAACGGCCACGGCCAGCCAACCGAACGCACTGCTGGCTGCCGCCCGCGCTCTCGTCGTGCGCTGGCCAGAGTCTCCGCCTAGCGCGCGGCGGCTGGACCTCAGCAGACCCGCTCGCTTCAGGCTGCCCGCGCTCCTATTCCCCCATCGGGGCCCTTCACGGGTTCCGGGGCCGTCAGTAAGAGGGCTCGGGAGGACAGGCGGATCCAGGCGAAAGCGCTTAGGCTACGCAAAGCCCGCGCCCCCCATGACCCGCCTCGCGCCGGCGCAGATCGAGAAGCGGGCAGTTGTTTGTTTGCTGTGTTGCCCGGCGCCAGGTGTCCGATCGCCAGGGGCCCCAGGGTCCCCAGATGCTTCCGCTGGAGGCTGCGAGAGGGGCACGATAATTGCGGACACCGCAACCCTGGATCCTGGATCCTGCCTTCTCCTTCTCGTCGGCCTCCTCCTCGTCCTCCTCTTTGTCCCGCGGTGCTCGATCCTGCCTCCCTGTCCTGCCTGCCCCACCGTTCTCTTCCTAGTCCGCCTCCTGTTTCTCTATCTTCTTCCTCCTACTCCTCCTCTCCCTCCTCCCTCTCCTCTTCCTCCTCCTCCTTCCCTTCTGCCCTCCGCTATCTCCCCCTCGATCCCCAGCTCCATGCCCGCTCCAGCGGGCTCTCTGATCCGTGTGTCGTCCCAGCCTTGTGCATACCCCTGGCACGGATCTCATCATGGCACTGCCGCGCGGACATCTGAGCGACGCGAAACAAACCCAGACATGATCGCGTCGTGAAGAAATCAGGACGGGACGTTGTTGGCCATTTTCGGCTTCGGGGGGCCCTCGCCGGGCGCTGGGAGTGTCAAAAAACCAGTCAGGATGAAAAGCCGGCCCTGGGGAAAGGGTCTGGACTTCCAGAGACGCCGTCCTCCTGTTTGATCCTGCGGCCCTACTCGATCCTCGACCTCGATCCGGGCAGCCCCTCGCCATCCTCCGCGTCGCCCTCGCTGGAACATCACACGTTTTTGTGGCTACCGGTGGCCATTCAGTGGGGGCCCATGCCAAGAAACACCCTGCTGACCTCAAGGGTGCCCTGGGTTGCTTGGGTCTCGATGGTTTTGCCATGGAAGGCGTGACGTTCCCACACCAAAAATCGATGGACGTCCTGGGGTCTCAGGGTTGGGTTTCTTGTGGAAGGTTTCTTGTGGCCGGGCCCCTATTGCAAAAGCAGGAATGGGACATCACACCTTCTTATGCTTTTATGGCCACCGGTAGCCATAAAAGTGCGTGATGCTCCATCGCCGCCCGCCGCCCGCGCGCGCCAGGTCGCCACCGCGCGCGCGCGGCTCGACGCCTGCCACGCGCAGCTGCACGCCCAGCAGGAGCAGCGCCTGGCGCGGGCTGGCGGAGCGGAGCCATCGGCGGTGGGGCGGGATTTGCCGCTCGTCGCCCGTCGATGGATTGATCGGCGATCGATCGATCGACGATCGACGGTCGCCGATTCATCGACGATCGATCGACGAGTCAGAGGGCTTCGCCGTTTTTTCGGCCTCGGTAGCCTTCGCCAGGCCCTGGCACCGTCAACGGAACCACTCGGGACGAGAAAAGCCGGTCCATGGGGGACGGTTGTGATTTCTGGGCACCGCTCATGGAACAACAACACTACATCGGATCTTTGGGATCGATCGACAGACGACGATCGACCGACCACGCTCGCTCGATCGTCCATCGGCCGATCCTCGTTCGTCGGGCGTCGTTGTTCGATCATCGCTCGTCGTCATCGTCAGAACGTTCGTCGATCCTCGATCGCCGACCGTTCGTCGAGGGGCGCCTTCGATCGTCGATCGTCGTCATCGATCCCCTCCCGCACTGCGAGGGGGGAGGTTACAGTCGAGGCTGATTAGTAGGGCGACCCTGCCAAATCAAGAGTACCTTCGTGTCCTGTGTTTCGCGACCTATGCCTTCTGCATTCCTATAATAATGCAGCCCTCGGAAAGGGTCTTGTGTCCTCTGGCGTGTCCTCTCCAATCAGCCCCGACTGTAGCTCTTCCCGGCGTGCCCCCTCCCAGTGGGGGACGGGCGCCGCGGAGGCCGAAGGAGGCGGCGCGCATCCCCACCCCGCGGGGGGGGTAGATCGGCCAGCCGGGCTGAGGTTTTTGTCCAGTGCGTGGGTCGGCGCTGGCGGGGCCGATGTTCCTTTGGTGGACGTGGGGAGTTGGGGATGGCTTTTCTTGCCTGGGGCCTGGGGCTCAGCGGTCAGGAAACCCAGACATGATCGTGTCGTAAAAAGTCAGGACGGGAGGTTTTTGGCCATTTTCGGCCTCGGGGGGCCCTCGCCGGGCCTCGGGAGCGTCCAACAACGACTCAGGATGAAAATCCGGTCTCGGGGGAAGGCAGGACTTCCAGGGACCCTGTATTATGATTGAGAAAATCAGGACGTCGCATGTCTGGGAAGCCCCAGGCCAGGGAGCCTCGTCACCCCCAGCCCAGAAGCAATGGGATCCCTGAACGCCTCGCCAACCCTGTGTCTGATCAGAATTTCCCTGCTGCTCCGTCTTCGTCGCCGTTCGTTGGCGTCGTCGCCGCGGTTGTCGTCGGCGGCGCCAGCGTTGTCGATCGTCGCTGTTGTCGCCGTCGACGTCGTCGTCGTCGGTCGGCGTCGCCGTCGACCGTCGTTTCTGTCATGCTCAATCGCCAAGCGTCGTTTTCATGCATCAGGCAACTCTAAGCAGGCCAAAAATTATGGGGCGCCTCATGTGTGGTTACGGATTCCCACCGTCGAGGAACACCCTCAACTAAGCATGGATCGTCTCCTTCATTGGCCACTTGGTCCAGTTGGGAGTCGTTGTCGCAGTTCTTTGGCGTCGTTGCCGCCGCCGCTGTCGTTGTCGTCGGCGGCGGCGTCGTCGATCGTCGCCGGCGTCGTCGGCGTGCAAATAGCAGGCGCGGGACGACGACGACGTCCCTGGTCTGGCTCGCGTCATCACCGTCGCTGCCGCCGCCCGTCGTTTGCGACCACGGCGACGTCGCGAAGGCGCCGACCACGACAGCGACGACCACGACGACGACCACCATGGCGAAGACAACGACGGCGGCCACTTCGACTCCGACGACGACGACGACGACGGCCACGGCAACGACGACGGCGGCGGCCAGAACGGCGACGCCGCCAACCCCGACGACGAGCACGACGACGACCACGACCACGACCGCGACGGCGGCCGCAGCGACAACAATGGCGACGGCGATGGTGGCTGGGGCAGGCCGCGGACAAGGCCGCGCCGACCGTGCCCGGCACCGTCTACGGGGGCGGCGCGCTGGCCGGGGCGCCAACGCCGATCGCCAACGCGATGCGGCAGTGCGCCTTGTGGGCGCAGGCGTCCCGTTCAATGGCCTGGCTAGCGGGAAACGTACGCATCCATCTCCACAGCCTCGAGGGCTGAGCTCCCGGGTCGCGACCCCACCGCTAAGGGGCGCTTCCTCGCGAATGCCCCGCGCGGAGTCCAGGTCGCGAAGGCGTGGGTATGGATATGTCCGCCGCTCGTGCTGGCCGCCGCGGGCGCCGCGCGCCACCCGTCAGCGCCCGTCGCCGCCGTCGGCTGCGGCTGCCGCCTCGTCTGGTGCCACCGGCGCCGTCGTCGTCGTTGCCGTCGTCGTCTTCGTCGTCGTCGTGGTCGTCGTCGTCGCCGTCGTCGTCATGGTCCGCGGTCGCTGTCGTCGTCGTCGTCGTCGTTGGCGTCGCCGTCGTCGTCGTCGTTGCCCCTTCGTCGTCGTCGTGGTCACGGCGGCAGCGGGAGGCGGGAGCGAGGACGGGGCCAGTGAAGACGGGGGAGGAGGAGGAGGAGGAGGAGGAGGAGGAGGAGGAGGAGGAGGAGGAGGAGGATGGTGATGGCTTTTCTTGATCACCAGCCTTGATCACCAAAAAGAGTTTCGAGCACCAAAAAAAAACACACCGAGGCTCGAAGGTTTTCACGTGTCGGGCCCCGGGAGACACTCTTCAGACGCTGTTTCGGCACTCTCTCGGCACTCTTTCGACACTTGTCCGGGTGCTCGACATTATTTCTGGGATGTGGTCCTTGAGTACGATGGGAGCAGCATAAACCCAGACATGATCGCGTCGTGATACAACAAATCAGGACGGGATGTTTTTTGCCATTTTCGGCTTCGGGGGGCCCTCGCCAGGCCTCGGGAGCGTCGATTCAGGATGGGAAACCGCTCCCCGGGAAAGGGTCGGGACTTTCAGGGGCCCCGTATTGAAAACGTCAGGACGCCGCACGTCTGGGGACGCTATCTGAGCCTTCCGAGAAGATCTGCACCCTTTCGTCGCCTGCGACGGCGGCAGTGCCAGCTGCCAGATGGCTGCGCTCGCCTTGGGGCCCGACTCCCCGTCCTGCGTCGGGCGGGCGGGTTGCGATATGACCGTGCGGCTTCTCGGAGGGGCTCTCCCCTGGCCCATCTCTGCGTGCTGCTGGGAACCGCAGGAGGAGGAGCAGGAGGAGGAGGAGGAGGAGGTGGGAGGAGGGGGGGAGGAGGAGGAGGAGGAAAAGAAAAAAAAGTAGGAGAAGGAGGAGGAGAAGGAGGAGGCGGAGGCCCGTTTCGTCCGACCCAGTCCTCTCTCGGTGGGCGGCAGGCCCCCGCGACCGTCCTGCAGCAGCCGCAGCAGCCCAGCTCTGGCGTGGGGCAGCAGCTGCAACCGCACCCGCCGGTGGCGCCGCACCGGGCGCCGAGCTCCTCCGGGGCGTTCGGGGTCCTCAGCGGCGGCAGCGGTGTCGTGTCGTGGCGGTTGGTGGCCTCGGCGGCGTCGTGCCGTGGCCACGGTGGCCGTCGTCGTGGTCGTGGTCGCCGCGGTTGTCGTGGTGTTCGGCCGTCGTCAGCGGCGTTGTGCCGTGGGCTCGGTGGCCGTGGTCGTGGTCGTCATCTTGATCGTTGTGGTCGTTGTGGTGCTCGTCGTCTTCAGGGGCAGCGGCCAGCGGCGGTCGCGGCGGCGTCGTGGCCATCAGCGGCGGTGGTGGCGCTCGTACAATAGTGGTCGGCGGATGGGGGGGGAAGGAGGTGGAGAACGAGGGGTCAGGGAGGGGGTGAGGAGGAGGCGGAGGAGGAGGAGGAGGTGGAGGAGGAGGAGGAGGAGGAGGATCAGTGACCTTGCTTCCAGTTCTGCGAGCGGGCCGCCATTAACAATTACTCGGTGGAACAGGAAAGACCGAGAGACCGAGGTAGCACCCTTTGCTTGGGGATTTCCAAACGCTGGCTCCAGCGTCCACACGCGCAAGGCCGCTGAGGCCACGGGGGAAAGCGGCCCCAGGGGGCCCAAGTGTGGCCCTGGGCGCCCACGATCTCCCCAGCGATGCTGGAGATCGTGGCCGCTCGGCGCCTCTGGCGGCCCCATGTGGCCGCACCCGGAGGTCGCTCCAGCGGTTGGGCAGCGACCCCAGCGGCCCCCGCAGCGGACCCCGGCAGCGGGCCCCAGCACCCAGCGCCCAGCGCCGGCGTCAGCGGCGCCCGCGGCGCCGCAGGATCAGGATCGGGCGTCCCACGGTGGCTTTTTTCTGGTCGGAGAAGGCTCTTGTGGGACGGGCCCCTTCTGGCCCAGGGGGCCCAAGCGTGGCCCCGGGCGCCCAGCGATGCTGGAGGTCGTGGCCGATCGGCGCCTCTGGCGGCCCCCTCGGCGCCCCCAGCGGCGTCCTGGCCGCGCCCGGAGGCCGCTCCGGCGGCTTCGGCAGGGGCCCGAGCGGCCCCCCAGCGGACCCCAGCAGCGGGCTCAGCGCCCAGCGCCGGCGGCCGGCGGCAGCGGCGCCCGCGGCGCCGCAGGAGCAGGATCAACCGTCCCACAGTGTTTTTGTTTTTTTTTGGTCGGAAAAGGCTCGGCACGGGCCCCTGCTGGCACAGGGGGTCCCAAGTATGGCCCTGGGCGCCCACGGCCCCTGGCGGCCCCCTTGGTGGCCCCGGCGGCGTCCTGGCCGCGCCAGGAGGCCGCTCCAGCGGCTTCGGCAGCGGCCCCAGCGGCCCCAGCAGCGGGCCCCAGCAGCGGGCTCAGCGCCCAGCGAGCGGTCCTGACGGCCCCCCTGGCCCCCAGCGCGTGCCGGCACGCACGGAGGCGCCGGTTGCGCGGACGTTGTCCGGGGCGTCCCATTTGGCGACAGGGCGGCTCTGGCCGACGCCGTAGGCGGCCCATTGACCCCGCGGGGTCTTGCAGGGAGTGCGCAGGGCGGCCTTCGCGTGCTTGTTCTGAGGGGTTGATCTCGCTTCTGAGGGCGGGAAAAGGAGGAAGGGGAGGGAAGGGGGGGCACGAAGCAGAGCGGGCTGGAAGGAGGCGTGGAAGGGGAAGGTCACAACAACCCTCTCGACGGCCTACTCCTAGTCGCCAGTCCGATCACTTTCTGTCGGTTTGCTACTAAATTGTGCCGTCATCGCGCTGGCTAACCTCAGCCCGTGCCTCTGTTTCAGCCTTCAGCTGGAGATTCTCCTAACGGGGCCTGGCGGGCCCAACGTAGTGCAGCCCCGCTGACCCAGAAAGGCCGCATGTGACCCTTCCCCCCCCCAATGCGAGCCTTGCGTAAAGGCAAAGGATCAGTGGGAACCCGGAGGTGCGACACGAGCTGGCAGTAAGATTGGCCTCTTGGGGCCCATAGGCGGAACTTGCCAGACATGCCCAACATACCCACTCGCCATGTTTGCACTCCAGGAGGGCCCTAAACCGGCGCCCTTAGGCACACAACATAAGGCACTCGCGAAGCCCGCGATTGCATGAAAGCCATCCTGAGGTGGGCCCGAGATGGTAACATGACACTGGGACGTACCCCACCCAAATAAAACGGTGCAGCAATCAGAGGGGCGTCGCCGACCAAACCCACACGACAGCAGAAGCTTGATCCCGAACAGGTACGGATTGGGCGTGGAGAGCTGGGCCGTGGCCCTCCTCGCCCGCTGCCACCTATCTTAGCCTGGGCGGGCGGCCCCCGAAAATTTGTGAACGTGTGCTCCCTGGGGGCAACTTGTTCAGAAATTGACCTGGGCGTCCCGCCTGGCCGAAGGCTGGCTCCAGCCAGCACCGTAGGCGGCCACTCCACCCCACGGCACCCCTGAGCCCAGAGGCGGCCTGGCGCCCTGGCAATTGGACGCCTGCCCCCCCGCTTCCCCCTCGATGGGGTGAGCACTGTTCTGTGCTGCATGTACGACCCCCCTCTGTTGGGACGAGGAGGCGTACCGAATTAGGAGGCAGGTGATACGCTCAGCCCTGGCCTAACAGGTGCAACGCTGCGGATGTCGAGAATTCTGTCGCGAAGGTTGATTCGGTCAAGCCTTATTAACGGAGCATGGGCTACTTGGGTATGTTGTGCATAGATAGCCTTAGTCCACAGTCCCCGCAGAATTCCCGAGATCTTGCCTGATAGTGCGCGGCCTCGGATGCCAGAACTCGAACTGTGTTTGTTGTTTCGGTCTGGCCGAAACAACAGACCGTAGGCCATTGGGGTACGCAATGTCAACTGCATGGTCGGGCTCTAGTGAGGACCCTGGCAGGCGAAACTACGCACAACCGCTGATGCGCTCTGCCCTAGCCTAACTATTGCGGGCTTGCGAATGCTAGGAATTCTGTCGCGGGTGTTGAGTCGATCAGGCCGAAACGACGGGCCGTGGGCTACTTGGGCATGCTGTGCATAGCCATTGTCCACAGTCCTAGCATAATTCCCCAGATCTGCCTGATAGAACTCGAGCTGCGTTTGTTGAGCCAGTCTAGCCGAAACAACAGACCGTAGGCCATTGGGGTATGCAATGCGTAGCCTTAGCCCACAGTATGGTCGGGTCCCAGTGAGGACCCTGACAGGCGAAACTGCCCACAACCGCTGATACGCTGAGCCGTAGCCTAACTAGTAAGGCTCCGCGGATGCCAGGAATTCTGTCGCGGGTGTTGAGTCGGCCTGGCCGAAACAACGGGCCGTGGGCTACTTGGGCACGCTGTGCATAGCCTTATCCCACAGTCCTCGCAGAATTCTTGCTATCTTGACCTGATGATGAGGATGAGGATGATGCCGCTGACGTGCGCCAGCTGGTGGCAGGGCAGAATCGGGCTGGCCGGCTGGCAGACAACCCCGCAGTTGTTTGTCCCCATTGCTCGGGGCCCACGCTGGGAACGCAGCGAATCGGGCCAAGCTGATGGGCGACGGAGGGGGAGCTCGAGGAAGGAGCGGAAGAGCTGCGCGGGCTGTCGCGCTGAAGAGCGGGGAAGGGGATGGACTGAAGAGGAAGGCGGGCCAGCTGGGAAGCGCCGCCCACTTTTGGGCTGCACCGCGGTCGCCCTGCGGCCACCGCAGACCTGCGGCGGATGGGGAGAGGGAGGATGAAAGTGTGGTGGCGAAGTGGGAGAGGAGGAGGAGGAGGAGGAGGAGGAGGAGGAGGAGGAGGAGGTGGAGGAGGAGGAGGGGCCCCCTGGCAACGGGTCGAGGCTCCGGGTGGGCGCACTGCGGTGGCAGCCTTGCCACAGTCGCTCCGCTGGTCCCTCGCATGCGGGCTATTCCGAGGTGCTCCTCTGGCGTGCGCGCCCCGTGCGTCCTCGGGAGATTCCCGCAAGGGGGTGAAGAACAGCATCGGCACAGGGAGGAGGAGGAGGAGGAGGAGGAGGAGGAGAGAGGAGGAGGAGGGAGGAGAGGAGGAGGAGGAGGAGGAGGAGGAGGAGAGGGAGGATGAAAGTGTGGCGGGGAGTGGAGAGGAGGGAGGAGGAGGGAGGAGGAGGGAGGAGGAGGAGGAGGAGGAGGAGGAGGAGGAGGAGGGAGGAGGAGGAGGAGGAGGAGGAGGAGGAGGAGGAGGAGGAGGAGGAGGGAGGAGGAGGAGGAGGAGGGGAGAGGAGGAGGAGGAGGGGGGGAAGGGCGGCAGGCGGCGGGGGAGGAGGGCAAGGAGTTGGAAGGGTCGTCGTGGTTGTCGTCGGCGTTGTCGGAGGGAGGGGGAGGTTGGAGGACGAGGGGAAGGGGCAGGGCGACGATGACGACAAGGCTGCCCAACAACTGAAAGGTGCGCTCGCATAAACTCAATCTTTCCTTCCATGGGGAAGACGCGCCAGCGAGGCGAGGATGAGGTAGTGAGGCGGAGTTGGGGGCGGGGGGAACAGGTGGAGGCCGAGAAGGCCTTTGGTTCTTTTATCCTCCTCATCGTCATCATCATCATCATCATCATCATCATCATCATCATCATCATCATCATCATCATCATCATCATCATCATATGCGTCGTCATCAGCATCATACATCATCCTTCTCTCAGCGGAAGGTGGCATCGAACAGACGTATCAGCAGCATTGGAGTTGAACGTTCGTTGGCGAATCACGCTTGTATAAACGGCGCCCAGCAAGCCGAGCCTGTCCTCTGATGCTGGAGCACGAGAGAACAATGTCCTTTGTGCCTCCAAGTGAGCAGATCTCCTTGGGCCTCCACCGTCTCTGCTTCGGTGTTGTGTGCTTTGGTGCTGCGTTGGTACGAAGTCATCTTCTCCTCCATCCTCCATCCGCCTTGGTCTCGAGCATCATGATGTGCGTACGGGAGTGCCTGAGCATTCCTCACCGCGCCCCCCCATGACCCGCACTTCTTTCCTCCTCGTCCTCCCATTTCCTGCTCTCGCTTCCTCTCCCCCCAGTCGCACCAACCTCCCTCTCTCCTCCACCTCCCCCTCCTTCATTTCCCCATCCTCCCTCTCCCCCTCGTCATCCTGCTTTTCTCCTCCCTCCCCCACTACAATTCCCCCTCCTTCCCACCTATCGTTCTCTCATCCCTCCTTCTTCTCAGCATTCTCCGCTGACTCCAAAAAGACAACGAAGTCGAAGATGACGCCGCCGACGACGTCGCCGACGCTGACGCCGACGAGGACGCCGACGACGCCAACGCCGCCGACGACGACGACGACGACGACGACGCCGACGCCGACGACGACGACGACGACGACGACGACGACGACGACGACGACGACCGACGACGACCGACGACGCCGAAGCCGAAGCCGATGCCGCCGACGACGCCGACAGCCCGCGAGGCGCCAAGCATGGACTCGGTCGTGACCGCGCCGCGCGAGCCGACCGCGGCGCCTGGCGCCGACCGCAGGACCCGGGGCTTGGGAGCGGCGGGCCAAAGCGGGGTGGAGAGGAGGGAGGGGGGACGGGAAGAGGAGGAGGCTTGACGACAACGACGACGACGACGACGAGGACGAAGGAAGGGCATGCTGATGCTGATGCTGATGCTGATGCTGCTTCTGAGCTGGAGGAGAGGAGGAGGAGGAGGAGGAGGAGGAGGAGGAGGAGGAGGAGGAGGAGGAGGAGACAAGGCGGAAAAGGAGGAGACGAGGTTGATGATGAGGAGGCGACGGAGGAGGAGAAGGAGGAGGCGGAGGAAAAGAGGGAGGAGGAGGCGGAGGAGGGAGGAGACGGAAGTGGCGGCGGAGTCGGAGTAGGGCGAGCGAGTCAAAGGCCCCGCTTAGTCCCACCCTCCCCCCCATCACATGAGAATCAGCGCACGCACAACACGATAGTGGGATTGGAACACGTTCCCACCTAGCGAATGGAAGGCGTTCGCGCGCGGCCCCGCTTCCGACGACCTGCCACGGGAAAAAACTAAGCTGGCCGCGTAGGGGCGGGAGCGGCAACACTTCCGATGCACGCGGTGAAGACGAAGCAAGCGCCGCGCCTACACAGCACTACCGATTTTGACAAGGGCGCCCTCGAGGGCGCGAAGTTAGTCGCGCTTCGCGCTTCGCGGTTCGGCTCCGATTCCTCCTCATCCTCTCCTTCTCCTCTCGGAGGCGGCGCGAGAGCGCGTGGTTAATCGCACTTTGCGCTTCGCGCAGCGCGAAGCGCGAAGTTGGGGGCCCTGGTGTCACTGCGCGGCGCTGAGGCGAGGTCGGCGTTCCGAGTGCCCTGGAGCGTCGGGCCATGCGGTCCGACGACGGAGCCCTGCGAGGAGCCCGCGGGGGAGCGCCACTCCCGAGCGACGTGCGCACGGAGCCTGGGCGAGGCCGACGCCTCGCCTCTGGATCTTCACCACCCACCAAACCACCCCAACCCAACCCGAAGGCTCAAATTTACCCTCGATTTCCAGTGGGGGGGGGTCGGGAACATCGAAAATACACATCGAAAAATTACATCGGGTCTTCGGGTTGGGTTGGGGTGGTCTGGTAGGTCGTCAGATCTGGCGAGTGAGGGACGCGCGCCGCGCCGAGTCGCGCGAGAAGCGTGCGCGGCGCCTTGGGGCGAGAGCTGCACGTTTTCGTCCGCTCGCGCGTCGAGGAGCTGGCGTGCGAGACGCGTGCGCCCCGGCGGGAGCCCAAGTCTCTGGGAATTGGGCGTTGCGTAATGGGGGGGTCATAAATGGGGGGTTGGTGAGGGTGGTCCGAAAAGGTACCCAAACGGTACCTAAACGAGCCCCCTGGGGCTCCAGAGGGGCCCGAAAGGGGCACGAAAGGGGACCGTTTCTGACCCCCCCATTTGTGACCCCTCCACTAAGCCACGCCCAAGGGAAAGGGAAGACGGCGCCGGATCGGGAGCGACACGTCGGCCTCTCGCGCAGGATGCGCGCCCCGCCCAACTCCCGCCAAGCACTTGGCAGTATGGACGGCGTAGTGTCCATGCTGAGACGCAGTGTCGACTTCTGTTTCTGTCCCATGTGGGGTCCCGGATGTGGTTGCTACCGGCCGGCTGCGTTGGAGAGAACGAATAAGGAATTACAGCCAGCGAGGAGCCCAATCTGTGTGTTTCTAGCAATCTATGTGGTGCAATCGTCGATGTGGTGCAATTAATGTTTGGTCGCAGTGAGTTGTCCACTCCATTGCTCGCGCAACCATCCCCCACCCACCTACTGCTTGGCGCTGGCTGGCGCCTCGCTGCGTCCGCGCTATCGCGCACAGGCTCGCGCGCAGAGTGGCCAGCTGTACTGGCGCGACCGACGCGGCCGCGGTGGCGCTGACCGCTGGGGACTTTCAGCGTGGCTTGCGAGACGCGGTGTGAAGCGGATGATTTGGGGCGAGCGCGGTGTCATGGCGAGTTTGGGGGCCATCGGAGTGGGGACCATCTTGGGCGTCTTGGAGCGATCGTTCGGCGACTCGTGGCCCTCTTGGACCGTCTTGTGGGGCCCCTCGAGGCTTTCTCGACCCGTCTTGGGGCCCTCGTGGGCCCGGGAAGGTCACGCGATAAGACGCGGGGGAGCCTTGTGGGCAAGCGGGAAGCCCCGGGAGATTTGAGAGCGAGGGGTCCGTGTCCGTACACGCCTTATCCGTGCCCAGCGGCACGGTGGCGGATTCTTGTAGAAAGGACAATCTATGTTGTGCAATCTATGTAGTGGCGACGAGGCGGCAACATAGCCGCCAGAGCGGCACACCGTCCCACACGATGGGCCGCGACGAAGCGGCGACGGGGCGGCGATGGCGGCAACATAGCCGCCAGAGCGGCACACCCGCCCAGAAAACGGGCAGCGACGAGGTGGCCACGGGGCGGCGGCGGCGGCAACATAGCCGCCAGAGCGGCACACCAGCCCAGACGACGTGCGGCGACGGGGCGCAAACGGCGGCAACATAGCCTCCTGAGCGGCACACTGGCCAAGGCGGCGGGCGGCGACGAGGCGACGAAGGGGCGGCGACAGCGGCAACATAGCCGCCAGAGCGGCACACTGGCCCAGGCGGCGGGCGGCGACGAGGCGGCGACGGGGCGGAAACGGCGGCAACATAGCCGCCAGAGCGGCACACCAACCTACCAATAATCTTGACGCCTCGTGTGTCCCCACCAGCCCATCCAGAAACCATCAGCAGAGAGTTGGTAAGTCAGGAACGGCTGGAAGCATGCAGTTGCGCGGCCGTCTTCAGAAAGTCAAGAATCACACATAGCTTCCCGCATTGAAGTTTCAGATGGAAGTCAGTGCAAGATACGACGTGGTGCCCCCCGTGTAAACGTCTCTAGCGCAGGTGGCTGTATCCACCCTGGGCCATGAGAAACAAGGATCACACAGAGGAACCAGTATAAAATACGCCTGGGTGTTCCCTGTGCGTCTCTGGCGCAGCGGACCCCGTCGTAGATCCGGATTTTCTATTCTTGGACCCCGTTGGGCTCTCTTCGGGGTCTCTTGAGGCTCTCTTGAGATTCTCTTCGGAGCTCTTTGGGGGAGTCTCGGGGCCCTCTTGGGGCTCTTTTGGCGGGTCTGGGAGGCCTCTTGGGGCCGTCTTGGACCCCTTCGCTCAAAAAGAGGGGGGTCGTAAATTGGAGTCTTGGGGCCCTCTTGTATTGCTTCTTGGATGCGTGTTGGAGGCTGTCTTGAGCCGTCTTGAGGTATCTTGGGCGATCTTGGAGGCCATCTTGGGCTAGCAAAAGCCCTCTTGAAGCTATCTTGGGCCATCTTGGACGCTCTAACCCCTCGCGGGGGAGCCGGTCCAGGCCCGGGGAGGGGGGGAGGTAAACCTCCCGAGCAGGGAAAGGAAGGAGGTTAGAAAAAGGAAACGCTCTAGACCACCTGAGCCCAGAGGGCTGGTTGGATTCCTTAGATCAGAAGTGAGAACCCTAAGTGCCAGTATTGTTTGGGGGAATCGGGCTAGGGATAGGGAGCGGGTGGAGCAGGAGGAACGAGCAGGAGGAGGATTCGAGAATGAGGGATGATGCTGCCAGAGAGAAGGGTGGAGAAGGGAGGGAGTGAGTGAGTGATGGGCAAACATGCCTGCACATATCGTGTATACAAAGCAGAGTACAATCCACCACCCACACACCGATGTATAAATGTCAGCCAGCGAGGACCCTACACAGTGTGGTCTAGCATGCTACGTGGTGCTATTCAATGTATCCGTCGCACTATAGCTGGCGTATACATATATCGGCGCACCGGGTCCGGGGGCCCGGGGCCGGGACCCCGACCGCAAATGTGCACCCCGGGGGGGCCGGAGGCTCGTCGGGGCTTGCCGGAGGCCTCCCCAGTCAGACAAGACGGCCCAAGAAGCGCCCAAGACGGCCCAAGAAACTTCCAAGAGGCCTCCAAGAGGGCTCCGAGATGCAAGGACGCCCCCAAGAGGCCCCAAGAAGCCTCCAACATGCGTCCCAAGAGGGCCCCTAGACGCAAAAATTGGCCCATTCCCTTCGTAAAACGTACATTTTCAACAAAGTTGTCTTTTGGGCTTTCCGACGTTACAGGACGGCCCAAGAGGCGCCCAAGACCGCCCCAAGACGGCCCAAGAAGCTTCCCAGAGGGCCCCAGGACAGCCCAAGAGGGCCCCAAGACGGCCCAAGAGGCGCCCAAGATGGCCCAAGAGGGCCCCAAGACGGGCCCAAGAGGGGGCCCAGAGGAGGACCACGAACCGCAAGCTCGAGCCTTCCGCCCCAAGAGGCCGCCAGGAGGCCCCCAGGAGGCCCCTCAAGAGGCCCCGGGAGACCCCAGACGTCCAAGGACGCCCCCAAGAGGCCCCAAGAAGCCTCCAACATGTGTCCCAAGAGGGCCCCTAGACGCAAGAATTGGCCCATTCCCTTCGTAAAACGTACATTTTTAACAAAGTCGCCTTTTGGGCTTTCCGACGTTACAGGACGGCCCAAGAGGCGCCCAAGACCGCCCCAAGACGGCCCAAGAAGCTTCCCAAGAGGGCCCCAGGACAGCCCAAGAGGGCCCCAAGACGGCCCAAGAGGCGCCCAAGATGGCCCAAGAGGGCCCCAAGACGGGCCCAAGAGGGGGCCCAGAGGGGGACCACGAACCGCAAGCTCGAGCCTTCCGCCCCAAGAGGCCGCCAGGAGGCCCCCAGGAGGCCCCTCAAGAGGCCCCAGGAGACCCCAGACGTCCAAGGACGCCCCCAAGAGGCCCCAAGAAGCCTCCAACATGCGTCCCAAGAGGGCCCCTAGACGCAAAAATTGGCCCATTCCCTTCGTAAAACGTACATTTTCAACAAAGTTGTCTTTTGGGTTTTCCGACGTTACAGGACGGCCCAAGAGGCGCCCAAGACCGCCCCAAGACGGCCCAAGAAGTTTCCCAGAGGGCCCCAGGACAGCCCAAGAGGGCCCCAAGACGGCCCAAGAGGCGCCCAAGATGGCCCAAGAGGGCCCCAAGACGGGCCCAAGAGGGGGCCCAGAGGGGGACCACGAACCGCAAGC